GAATAGATAAGTATATTATTATTTACGCATGTGTCAGTATATACTTAACTTAAAATCATTCATCTTATTTTTTTTTTCTTCTTCTGTAAATAACAATTAATATTCGATACCTTTAAATACTATAAATATTCATATCAGTGTTTTTTTCTTCGAACAGTTTTTAACACATTATATATACTTATCTGATATGTATTTACATTTTTTATCTACGTATAATATATATTTACGTTTATATAAATAATGAATAAATTTTTGTATATCTAAGATTATATACATAACAATCTTTTAACATTTAACCAGGCCATAATAAAATTCCCCTAAAATTTAAATCATAAAAAGGAAGAACCGAAGTAACTAAAGTTAAAACTTTAACGGTTGATCGAAAAAAATTTTTTTTATTAAATTTTTTAAATAGTATAACAAACTACAAAAAACGGAAAAGGTATGCTCAAGCATTTGATTCTATAAATATCATCATCGATTGTAACACTTGAGCATCGTCACAGTTATTTATCAGATCAATTTATTCAAATGCTTAAGATCAGCTTAAATTACACTTAAAAATTTCACAACCTCTTCTAGACATCAATACCAACGATCACACAAATACTTATTGAAATATTTAATAACCATACCTCAACTTTAAAAAAAAAAAAGGCCAAGCCTCTCTTATATAATACAGATTTACGATCTATAAACTCACATCTTTGATAACTATTTAAACTCATTTAAAATATATTTTTTTGAAATACAAATATATACTTGAATAAATATTGACATCTTTGCTATATATGCTCGACAATGCAAAAAATAATATATTAAATATCGATATATACAAAATATTTAGCTTCCTAATACGGTCGTAAATACAATTAATAAATAATATTATAATTAGATTATCATTACAACTTCACTTAAAACAAAACTACCGAATTACATTAATACTTCACGAATTATAAATACCACATCCGAATTCTCGACTATAATTTAGATAACTCTAAAATCAAATCACTTGATAAAAAAAAATTTTTTGAAAAATCAAATACCTTTGATAAAACGAATATTTTTGATTTAAATATGTCATTCCACATACATAGAATTCTTGAAATCGAACCCCTAGAATTCAATAAAGAAATAATTGATCTAACATCTAATAACAATAATTCACAACACTCTGACCACCAATCCAACGAATCACCTCGTCCAGGAATATTTCCGTGGATAATCTCAGAAAAAATGCAAACTCTAATAGAAAAATTCGAAAATACTATTCTATCTCAATTTCCATATGTTCCTTGTTCTATTTGCTCCAGACTTATGTATCCAGAGAAATCGATGTGGATTCATCGAAATCCTAATACTCTGTATCCACTTGAAAATTATAAATCACTGGTTGTAAACCCGATACCACCTGCAAACCGTATCGCAATATGTCACTCATGCAAGTTAAACCCAACACGCAATTATCCACCGTACCTACACCCGATTCCACCCGAAATTGAATCAGTACCATTAAGATTACGCAAACACTTGTCCCTTATCTTTCTCCATTGTTCTCTGGGTAGAACACCTGGAGCCAATCCATTCTCCGAATACAGAACACTGGTGGGCACTATGAATTACTCACAAAACTTTAACTCTCTGAATTTATATTCGGGCTTATTAGGCGCTTACCTTACCTCTCCAACTTCTACTCAATCTGCACTTCCTCCCTGGTTTGAAAACTCGCTAATTAATGCTACTAATTGGCTTAAAGAAAATAATCCTTACATACGCTAATATTCATTAATGATTCCACCAACATCAAATTCGAATCTCCAGTTTCCTGTAGCCGTTCATTCATCTGTCGATGAAAACACACCCCTATTTCGACACGGCGATATAGTAGTTCCATACCAAAACTTTCCTGCTGAAATCTACAATGAAGATGCAAACTACCGTCACTTAATAGCTGGATTCATGGCCAATAATGATATAAACAGAATCCCAATCGCCCTAAACGATCCACATCTCGAATCACTACTCTTCCCAGACCTATATCCTGATGGTCGTAGACATTATCAAGATATGCGAAGTCAATTAGAAAATTTACAATGACGCCACGACACCCTCGGAAAATACATAAAACATCGTTTACTTTCCGAAGATCCCCGATTTCGACTGCATCACTACTGGCCTGCATGGGCTTATCTACAACTAGAAAAATTTAGAAATTTCCAAAATACTCAATGACTTATCAGACAATCTGCTGCTG